ACCACTCTACCCCTGCCTATATGCCGTGAGCTAATTATCGAGCCTTCATTGTAACAGTCGCGGGTGTACTGTGTGTGTGCGTGTGGGGAGTGTTGCAGTAAAAAAGGCCACTGTAGTGCCGCCGCCACTGTGGGCTAAGCCCCGAATGTTTTCAGGTCCAGGCAACGCCCCTGATGTGAGCCATACTGTGATGCACCGTCACCTTGCAGTTGGATGTGTGAGTGATGATCGACACTTTGATAAGCACCATAAAATGGTATAGGAACTGTGCGACACATTATTCAAGGGAGACAGGACGGGAGAGTGGTGTCTTAAATAACTGTCACAGATATGATATGATCACTGAGGATTAAATTGAATTATTGAATTACTGCTGCAGCTTGGCCGGGAATACCCATCCCAAAGATGAAAGACTGAGTATTAGTCGAGTGTGACTTGACAAAAGCTCAGAATCACAGTCACTCTGTCTTTTCCTACCCATATTTTCTCGTTTCTTCATATTCTGAATACCCACTTCATCACTATGCTTTAGGTGAGTTTAATTACCTGGGGATGTCTTGATAAGAAATGATTAAATATGAAACAGTAAAGTCATTAGGCCAAGTTGTGAAGTCTGCAGAAATTAATGTCTTTTTTTTGCAGCTTCTGCAAGAATCCAGGACTCTTTAACTTTACTCAGCATTACAATTAGATGGCAATAATGTGAATATTTTAGCATAGCAGCATCTTTGCCAATAACCTGATTATTTCTCAATCGCCATTGTGTGGAGACTAATTCATTTAAAAGTTGTGTTTCCTCCTCTTTAATATATTCTATTAATTAAGCAGAAAGGTCTTTGGCACAAAGCACATTGTCAACAGAGAACCAGTGAAGGGAGCTCACAGACCTGGTTTGTGGGTGGTAAAGTGAAATAGTTTGATACACAGAGGAAGTAGAAATTATGTCAGGCTGAACTTGTTAGCTTAAATCTGTGAGTATGCTCTCGAACTGATTAGTGATTGGAATCAAGAGTTGTTGAGGGAAAGTAACCTCTTGAATATGAGATGGTGGGGGTGCAGATGATGTGAGTGGTACTGCTGGGAATGGGAAGTTGCTTCTCAGCCATGGGCGTCGCAGCCATTATATGAGGGTGGGACAAGTCCCCCCCACCTTTTAAAATGATTAGTTTAGACCCCTCCACTTTTACTATGCGGAAAGTCCGTGAATCGGTCTATCCACTCGCCACTCTTTGTAGAGCGCTGTGTCAGTGCTTCACTATCAAATCCATTCCACTTGCTTATTGTGAGAATGCCCAAATCAATGAAACTCCGTACCATGTTTTCACTGCTACTTTGTACCAAGGCAGATTATCAGAGCCGTACACATGAGCTATACAAATGCTTCGTTCTGTGTGTAGCTGTGTCTTTAGTTGTACAATTATGCGCGCCACAGTTTCCCCGCTGCGAGGCTCCGGCGCGAACAGTTCACGAGCGTGCTCCACTAGCACCCGGATATAAGGCGCTGTTATTAAAGAGGTGGAGGGAGAGTCCTCTCCTGTCCGACTGAGAGGCTGATAACTACAGCTCAGTGAGGTAAAGGACTCTCTGAGGGTTTAGATACCTAGTTAACTTGGTAACACTTTATAGGCTATTAAGGTAGACAAATTAACCATCAACTAGTTGTTAATTAACATGCATATTAGCAGTAGGCCTATATTGGCTCTTTATTAGTCATTATAAAACACTTATTAATGCCTTATTCTACATGACGATATTCTACAAGTAATAAGCCATTAGTTGAGTTTTTCCTCAATAACCCTCTAATTGGTGCTTATTTATTGCAAGTAAGGAAGTTGTTGTAGGCCTACATGAGTTTTGGTCTTAATAATTGCTGCTCAATATGGGCCTAATAAGGCAGTAGTACCACAAGAATAGTAATTCTCCCATAATAACACTTAATAAATATGATCTATTCTTATGTAACAAGACATGAAACTATAAGTGTTAATTGTGTATGAATAACTCAAAATTAGTTAGGCCCTATTTATATCTAAGAATATGTTTTGGGGTATTGACAGTTCAGCTACCAATAGCAAGGTGATATTGACCTGTTTCATATTTGCACATTTATATTTTTGTAAAATGTGTAGCCTACTGAAGGTTAGACAGGAACCTGTGTACAGGAAGTAGGAGAGAGAGTATATGGCAGTAGACTGCTACTCATTTTCCCTATGCAACCTGAAGAGTAAAAGGGTCAAGTATGTCAGAAAGCAATGACTGTAAGTGTAATCCTTACACTGTAAGGATTAGTAACATGTATTGTGTTTATGGGATGACATTCGGAGATGTTTAAACACAATGAGAAAATGCATTAGCATTCGCGCTAGCGTTAGCCATACTAGCCTGTATACATGCTTATTGCACAGCTAGCATTAGCTATATTTACCTTGTTTACACTTAGCGGCCCTATGTGTTAATCTGTGTATGTTACACTTGCATGTATGAGATCATTAAGTGCCTTGTAACTTCTATTTTTGATAGTTTCACTCCGTTTGAATGTCAGTGGACTGCAAATAAGTCAATAAAGGAGCATGGCTGCTCATTCCCTGGCTCTCAAAGGAGTTTGGCTGGCTGTTTAATCTGTTCACACTGAGACAGTACAACACATAGAGAGAACAGTACACCTATTGTGTAAGTACATACAAGCAGGTCACACAGTATGATCACAAATACATAAAATCTGTTAAAAATCTATTTTTCTTAAAAAGTACAGGCTGCATACCATGTGTTCTCAGCCTTGGAGAAACTTGTCATGTTTTGGTATGTGTCTGAACCTCTCTTTAGTGGTTCATTAATAAAACAGATATTTGAACGTGTGCCTACTTTGTTCATGTACTGTTGAGGTTAATTTCAGTAGTTGTGTGCTATAATGTATTTACAAAGTGTGAAGAGGAGGCTACTTTAGAATAGGGAACCTGTTCAGGTCAATTAGAGTCAAACTACTAGCGTATTGGTTATGAACAAGACTTCACTTTAAAATAGGGAACATATTCTTAGATAGAAATACCTAATTAGAGTCAAACTACTAGCTTATTGGTTATGAACAAGACTTCACTTTAAAATAGGGAACATGTTCTTAGATAGAAATACCTAATTTTGAGTTATTTAGACACAATTAACACTTATCGTTTCATGTCTTGTAACATAAGAGTAGATCATATTTGTTACGTGTTATTATGAGAGAATAACTATTCTTGTGGTACTACTGCCTTATTAGGCCCATATTGAGCAGTGCATATTAAGACCAAAACTCATGTACAACAACTTCCTTACTTGCAACAAATAAGCACTAATTAGAGGGTTAGGGAAAGGAAAAACTCTCAACTAATGGCTTATTACTTGTAGAATATCGTCATGTAGAATAAGGCATTAATAAGTGTTTTATAATGACTAATAAAGAGCCAATATACTGCTAATATGCATGTTAATTAACAACTAGTTGATGGTTAATTTGTGTACCTTAATATAAAGTGATACCGTTAACTTTAGTCTAAGTAGTGGGTCTCAAACGGTTTGGTAAATAAGTATTTCCAAGGCACACTTTTATATGATCATTATAGTTATAAAAAATAAGAGAATAACAGGTATGAAATAATTCCAACTCATACTATAGAGGACAGTAACACAAAAATACAGTTTAAAAGGGGAGTGATTTGTAAAATATGCATAAAGAAAAAGTAAATCTGTTTACAGTTCTGTTTCACATGGGTGTTGAGAGATGTATCCATAGATTTAGTCCCTAATGTTGCTCTCAAAGTGCAGCAGATTTATGCATCTAACTTCAGCATGCCCCCTCACCCCCAGGAGGTGAGGTCCACCACCTGCTCACACCCCCTGTCAAATTGTCCCACCCACATTGAGGATGCTTCCTACGCCCATGTTCTCAGCAGCTATTTAAATAGATAACCGTACAAGGACATTTAGACAGGACAGTTAATCTTCCACCAGCACTATATTCAGTAGAATATACTGTATCATATATTTCATATTTTTTCAACAGGCTGTTTAAATGACCAATCTCAGTCACTAATTTTGGAATAGTGGCTGGTGCCTTTCTCTTTTAGACATCTTAGAACAACATCATTTGAAATATTATTTCGCAGTAACAGAGTTTTAAGATAGTTTAAGCTCCTGTCAGAAGCTCAGAAACATCTGCTGTGCGTCAGTGTTCTTCCTGTAAAGCTTAAAGCTATAGCCTACTTAAATCTGCCCCAGGCCCACAGATCTTCACAGCACTGGTTCACCCCACGGATTAAACCCACGGATTATTCCCAATGTCCGTGTCTACTTTGACTCCAATGCGGCATCATGCACCACTATTTTCTCTGTTGCTTCTAATTCATGCCATAAACAAAACACATTTCTGGGTCATAAATTCGCAGTCAGCTCTCTGGAGCATCAGTTTTGTAATTCAGACTCCCCCTCCTGCCCAGTGTACGGCTGATATCACATCACTGGAACACATCTGGACTCTGTCATATCTCATTTTGTTGAACAGGGGGACTCAGCATACAAGCAATCATAGCAACGCACCCCAGGGGGGAAAGGTGGAGAGGAAGGCATGTGGTGTAAAAGATGATGATGTTGTTGAATTTAAATATATTTATTTTTCACCTTACCTACACTGTATGTGCAATTTGAAACTCATAAAACACTAAATTATTCAAACATTGTATATTCCACATATTGCTCAGATAGCCTACATGCATATGTAAATAGATACCCTGTGCATGCATTTTTCATTGCTGCAACACTAATTACAAGACCATTCTGCAATAATTTGACACCAAATGCAACTGGCATCTGTATAAAAGAGAATCAAGTTGAATTCTGCAGGTTACTGATTATTTTTGCCCAAAAATATCTGGAAGCGATAGGAGTAGATAATAAAGAGTATGATTAATGTCCTCAGCAGCCCTCGGTTTTTTTTTTTTCACGTTGCCCAATAATCACCACCAATGGAAATGCAGTTGGCCCGCCCCTGCCGGTCTATTGTGAGTCCGCGTTCAGCTGAAACCACTCTTCCACACTCCGCACCAAAGTGGCGCACGACGACATGTAGCTGAACGAGGAGTGCGCCTTTGAAGATGCTTGATTATCGAGGCACAATTTCTGGTAAGAGACCACGCTGTTTTATCTTTTTTTTTTCTTCTCATCCATCGTCTTTTCCCCCAGCTGCATATCCGGGCTTCTTTTTTGTTTCCTACATACTCCTAACAGGCTGTATCGAGGCAGGGTCTATGGAGTCTTTAATTGTGTAACAGATAGGTTTAGTTGAGGAGTAGCCTCTATTTCTATCTAGAATAAACCGAAAGGCAATAGTTTTGATGTCAGGAAGGCGATGGACTTCAATGCGCACTCCATTCCTTTTCACTTTTATCCGTAAGGTAAAAAATATGATTTTGTTGCCGTTTAATGGAGATATTTCGGTCTGCATTAGATATGAGCTGCATTATATGTATAATAGGCGAGAGACATAAAGTAAAAAATGATTTGGAATGGAAAAATAGCAATATTTTAGATCTACTTAAACTTTTTATGGCTTTGTTGTTGCAATTAAACACCGATGTATCATTAGTTATCATTTAATCGTTAGAATAAAGGTGTAGATTTCACCCCAACGCTAGTTGTAGCGTTAGTTGAAAGCATGGGCTTCGTCAGGCCGTGGAAGAGGTGTGGATGTTTGTCATTTTGTCTGCACCTTGTGAACCTAAAGAAAAACAGTGTTTGGCTTTGTGCTGGAGAGAGATGCGTCGCTGTGGCTCTGGACATTTTCAGGGCACCTCCACAGCATCTCGTATGTTTGCTTCACGGGTTTGTCCAACAGAAGGGAAACAGATGCGTTGTAATGTCAACAGTCGATTACTCATGCAACATTGCGCGAAAAATATGCGCCCCCGCAGCTTGGACGGACTGAGCGTTTAAACCGGCCTCCTTCCTCTCCATCCTGCCAGACGAGCAGCTTTTTAGGGAGACAAACGGAGTTGGCAGCTTCCTGCTCAGCACCACCACAGACAACCACTGACATGTCCACACCCACGTCTGGTCCACGGTTCTGCTGCCCTTCTCTTTCCAAACATAGAGAAAGGTCCGCCCACGCGTATCAGTTTTAGTGCAGGGAGGCATTTGAGTGGCTATGTGGATGTGATAAACTGAGAAAGTCGCTATAAACAGCAGCTGAGCACCGGTGTGGTGTTTGCTGAAGCTCAGGTGAAGAGCTCAATGTTCCACTTTCCTCCAGAACTGCCTGTAATAGCCTAACTCAAAAAGGGATGTCAAGGAGCTCCATCATCATTATTTGTTTGACTGTTAGGGTTGTGAGGGCAACATCCAGAGCAACCTTTGTAAACGTCTCAATAATGGCTGCTCTGAGGGGAATTTGTGCAATAAGTTATTCATGAACCTAAGCCCTAAGTCATACACAATTAGGCCTGATTAGTCCAATTAAATACCTAGCTACCAGCAGAATCAAGTAGGGAATGCTGAAGTCTGTGTAATTAATCAGCCTTATCCCCCGATTATCTTTCACCACATGTGGCTGGAACTCATCAGCAGATGTCTGTAATCATGATGAGTGTTGGTGGCTTCATTGCCCTTTGGACCGCAGCTTCGCCCATTGTGCTGCATAATCAGAAAACATATTATAGGGTAGATATGCTATGATTGTGATTGGCTTCAACACATATTTAAGTGTAAACATCAAAACTATCCGCATTATCTACGACAGTTATTACCACAGTCCTCCACATTTAATTTGAGGTCCTCTACAGTATAATACTTTTATTCCACTCCCTCAGTATCCAAATCAGTAGGTAAAAGGCCATTTATGTTCAAAGCTCCTTCAGGCACAATTTACCACCAACCATACGAGTCTTACATTCCTTTCAAATGTTTAAAAATGCATTGTATTCTTATTTTGCTGTGAATTGTACGTGCTATCGATAATTTGACACGCACAAAACACTATGTTTTTATTTTATTGTATTGCTGGGCAAACTTATTTGTTCATGGCTTCTCTATGGCCATATAGTGGTTATGTCCAAATGTATATCTTACATTTTTGTGTTTGTGTGATTGTAGTAGTCTTGTATTTTGGTTGTATTGTGACTTGATTTGGTTTTTGTCATTCTGTTTTGTTTGTTTTTGTTTCCACACTGTCTTGAAAACAAGATAGTTAATCTCAAGGGGTTTATACTAAATAAATACATTTCAGTTTTTGTGTAAACAAATAGCTTATAATGTGATGTTCTGTTTGTGAAGGACACTGTCATCTTGAAGCACGGCTCTGTTGTGTCGACAGTGAAGTAGATTTGGTCGGACAGCAGGAGGCAGAGTGTTGGTAGGAGAGGTTGGTGCGAGAGGCAGAAAGGAAAAGAGAGTAAGGAAGCGAGAGTGAGGTGGAGAGAACATGCCTGCTGGCCTCCTGTCTGGACACATTACATTTTCATAGGCTGATATCGCACCGGCACAGCTGAATATAGATAAATAGCACTCCGCTGTCAACTTTGCTATTTGTTTCGCTTACATCATTGTTTTTATAGATTTAGCAGTAGATAGATGTTTTTGTTGTTTTACTGACCATTACTAATGTTGCATCTTTTTTTGGTGCAAAGAAGAAGTGTATAATCTACATGTAGGATATTCTTGGATACATGTTTAACCTGCTTTTAGATGCCATGCCCTCATATTTCCTTCTAACCCATTTTGCCTTGATACCAACAACTATTCCCACATTGGAATATTAAAAACTCTCCAAACTTGGCTTGTATTTTTCTATAACATTTAAATATGTATGACAAAAAAAGCATAAAACACAAACTGAAAAAACTTCTCTAGGTTTCAAGTCTTCAGAAACTGCTTCATCAGGACTCTGTGTGTGCTGTTTCATCAGAACAGATTTACGAACAATCCACTGAATGTCCAAATGTTTAGATGTTGCTAAGTCATGATTGGTGCTAGGACGTACCTGAGCAATTTATAATGTAAATACCCAAACTTTAACGTTGGCACAAATATATGCGTTCATGTTGGAACCATTGCTCTTCGTATCTATCAAAAAGTGAAGTACAACACGTTTTTTTTCTAGGTTACATTTCCCACCTGAGCTTTAAAGCTCTCAACTATTAAGTTAACATTTTATTTTAGTGGTGTATATTACATAACTAATTGTCACACAATTAACTTGGGGGCGTCATGGTCCCTGAGGGGTGGTTGAAAGCTCTGCCTGGTTGATAATCCAGCCTTGTATGTATTATAAATCTGGATTAAATGTGTAATCTCCTGGTGAAATGAACATATTAACTCTGCAGCTTTAAATGTCTGAACCTTCTTATCATGTAAATCATTAACCCGACACTCTCTCTCTCTTTTCTCTTCTGTGTCCCGCCAGGTTGAGTGACAAGCCTGCTGTCCAATCTCCACCATGATAGCCACAGGTGGCCTGTTGCGCATGAACAGGCGCCAGGACTCCCTCCGCTCAAAAAACCGGGCGGAAAACAAAAGGAAGCGGAAATCCAAGAAAAAGAAGAAGAACGACGTGGTGGTGGTAAAAGGGAAGCTCAATCTGTGCTCGCCGGCCGGTTTTGTTGCTGCGGTGGGAGTTGCAGTTCTCATGGTGGGGATTTCCATGGCGGTGCTGGGATACTGGCCCAGTCAGAGCCAGCAGCAGTATCAGGAGCGCCGCCGAACAGGAGGATACCAATCCAACAGGATGAGCTACTCCAAAAGTCCACCTGCTCCCTCTAACTTGACCCATGATAGCCCTCCATCAGTACAGACAACTTTATTAAACCAGAGCCATTCTAACAGCAGCACCCCCAACTCCTCCCGTAACTGTGGCTTCCTGTGTGACTTCCTGAATAATTACCTGTACTCTGACAATCTGAAAGTGTTCGGGCCACTGGTGATGGGAATCGGCATTTTCCTCTTCATCTGCGCCAATGCAGTCCTCCATGAAAACCGAGACAAGAAAACCAAAATCATCAACCTGAGGGATATCTACTCCACTGTCATAGATCTACACAGCATACGGTCGAAGGAGTACTCGCCTCTTAATGGTTTGGTGAACTACACTCAGTCGAGGAGTGCTGAGGGCCCGTCGGGGACGTTCCCTGCTAGCGGGATGCTTACTCGCGGCTCCTGGCCCTCCACTGGACTCGCTTTACAGGGCGAGGTGAGCGGCGAGGATGTGTTCAGACGCCCGTCGTTGGCCAGCAGGCCTCAGAGCTGGTCGAGAGATGTTCAGACCTTCACCGACACGGTCTACAGCATCTACAAGGACTACAGCAATAGCAGCGAGCAGGCTCCGCAGCCCCGACAGTGGGAGACCACCTCCATCGTCACCTCCTCTGTGAACGCTTTCACCCTCCCTGTGATCAAACTGAACAACTGTGAGGTGGAGTCCCAGCGAGTGGAGGCAGAGGGACACTCGGAGGAGGAGGTGGTTATTGAGACGGTTGTGGAAACCGAGGAAGTACAAGCCAGCAGCAGCCAGACTGATGGCGAGCAGAAGAACGCCTCGGCGGCAGATCCACCCCCACCGCCCCATCAGAGCCACAAGGACATAACCATGGATATGTCTGACCCACAGGGGGCGCCGCAGGCTGAGGATCAAGCACAGTGGACCCAGCTGTTTCCTCCATCACCTGTTGCCAGGGCGATAGGGTCACAGCTGTCGCTAACCTCCCTTACAGATCAGCCCAGGCCGGTGCGCCGCTGCAGCCTGTCGGTGTCTGGGGGTCGTCAGGGTGACAGGGCCAGACGCTTCAGCTGCCCTCGTCTGGAGCGCTCCAACAGTAAGGGCTACATCAAACTGGCTGACCTGGGGGGGGAGTCCTTCGAAGCCCCCGACACAGACACTTCTTTAGTGGCCATCGAACAGGAAGTAGCAGCGGACACAGCAGCAGAGGGAGACGCTCAGGGAGAGGACGATCTGGTGACACCCAGCACCTCTGCAGAATCATAGATAAATATTTCTGCTGATGAGCCTCTGAAAACGTTTTGATGTCTTGTTCTTTGCTTGGTACCTTCTTCTCTGGTTCCTGATGGGAAGCTGGCCGTTAAAGAGGGACGTAAACGTGGAGAGAAAGCAGCTAAGGACTATTGAAACATAGCCATGAACACTCAAGAGCACAGCTCTTTATAAATACCACATCCACAGCTCAATATTCAGATGTAATTTTTCTATTTTTTCAATGTAGCAAGAGCAATACTAAAGACTTGTAAGAAGATTTAGTAAAGATTTGTATCAAAAAAAGAAAATATGATCTAATGGATTTTAACTTTTCTTTTCTATAACAGTAGGGCAAACATTGTAGCTTGTAGTATTGCCAAAACTGTCACTGAGAACTACTGTCTGACATGTTGTCCTGTAGCATTAAAACATGCCACAGAAAACTAAATAGTCTAGAATTGTTTCTCTACATTGTTATGTGAATACCACGTACATAGGTGAACTGAATTGAATCTCAGGTAGACGTTTGGTTTAGGAGCGGGACCTTGATGACAAGGTCTTCCCAATGTTCACACTTGTTTATATGAAGCATTCATGGTTGAATACAATTAACTGTAACACCTCCTGTCGGGTCTCACAGGTTTCCTTGTGTGATATAAGATAAAATACAGCCATTGCAAAAAAGTTTGTTTGTTTGCTCCATATAGTTTAAGAAAAATTAAATGAAAAGATGAAAAGCTGTGGGACTCTGATTGATTAAGTGTGTGGCGTACCTGCAGATGGTATAGATTTTGTTTTCTGCACTTCTCATTACTGGGAAAGACTGCAGTGGTATTGATGTTACACTGTCTGTGCTTACTGAACCGAGACAAGTGACCTATAAGTGACGTTTACAACTGTCTTTTTAATAATTGGCTTCCTTCAAGTAATAAAAAATGTCATATCAGCAGAGGCTTATCTGCTGATTCAGATGGATGATGGATTTTGGCAGTGGTGTCCTAAAGGTCAGAGACATAGGCTTGTTACCGGAAATTTGTCTGACCAATTCCCTGAGTAAGTCAGGGTTGGGAAAGTGTACCAACAAGATGGCCTCGAGCAAGGCCAACTGCTCTACTGGAGCTGCAAAGTGGCCGGCAGATAACACTTTGGCAGCTTCCAGGTGTTAATGTCGAAGAGCGATAATGTGTTAGAAGCCATTACACCCACTGAAAACCCAGCTGAATACATACAAGTGAAAACTACTCCAAAAGTGTACCATTGGACTTCTAATCTGGTGTCTGTGAAGGCAAAAACATACTGTGTGATTCACATGTGTTTTTTACCCTTTGTGACTTGTAAACATTTGCATTCATTGTGTTTCTGCATGATTTATTAAGGTTGTTCTCTTTTGTGACCTGTTTGTATGTGCCTCATCTGCATATCACACCAAGTTTGTTACGTAAACACTTGATACATACACATACTTAGTACATTTATTCCCTTTAAGTTTATTTTAGAGATTACTTAACTTACTTACATGTATGCTATTTTATACTTCTACCCAATATAATTCAATGGGAAAAAATGCACTTTTAACTCCAATACATTTATTCAAAATGTAGTTACTGCAGGCTAAAACGCAAAATACACTTAAGTACTAATAAGGTACAAATATAGCTTAGGTCTAATACAGAAATCCTGCAATAGTTTATACCTTAATGAAGCAGTAACATAACCATAAAGTTGAATCAACATAAAATATTTACTACCAAAACTGAACTGTATAATCTTCATGCAGAATGAAAGGATTTATTGCAAGACTGCCACATTGGACAGCTTTAGTTTAAGATTAGTATAACTAATAAAATGTAAACTTGAGTGTAGGCTATGTGATAATGTTTGTTACAGGTTTAAACTACTCAATAGTGTAAGACTAAATACAAATAGTTCAATAAACTCAACCTTGACTATCTGAATGCTGATTTAAACATCTGTAAAGGAATCTAGGATACTATATGCTCGCTTACAGTATACTTTCCGTTTTATTTCATCACTTTTACTGGTAATGGTGTATATTCATATTGCTACTGTTATTTTATTTATGTAAATCATCTGAATATGTTCCACCACTGACTTTCACATTACTACTTTGTGGTACATATTGTCAACATTGCTAGTTCAGTTAAAGAGTCATTCTTTAGGAACATTGACTCTGCTATCATGAAGCATCTAAATGTAGCTCAGGCTCAGCCTAACGAGGCCATCTGGTGGTCATGTGACACAGATTATTATCAAACATACCCCTTCTTTCTGCAAAGCCTCCACCAGGTGGCACTGGGACTGTATACTGCTGGTGTCGTCATGCTGGGCGTGTCTGTTTCAGAGTACTATGGGGGCCGTTTTTCTGAAGCAGGAGGGGCGGGGTTATCTGGTCTCTGGGAAGGTTTTCCAAAGCAGGCGCTTACAGGTGTCTATTCCTTTTTAACCGGACAAGCCCCACGTCGGGTCTCCGGTAAACTCACACACTGCTCTGCTGTTAAAGGAGTTTTTAACTTCTTATAAAAATCAGGTAAAGTGTTTCACTTGTTTTCAGCTCTTGAACGTCACTATATCAATACGATTACTCTGGACTGTATATTAACTTGCGTTTTGCATGATTTATAAAGCATTAAGTCAGATTTAGCAATTGTTAATACTGTTTTACAGGTAATTTCCATTCACTGACACGTTAATGTATAATTTCAGTTCATGTTTTGTTTCATTTTCCATTTGTGTCTTGTTTTGAACACCGGGGATTCCTACACGCTGTGACCTGCTGCTCTCCTGGTGACTTGGATTGTGAAATGGTGAGTACTTGTTTATGACAAATTAAAGCGGGATACATGATACAAAAACACTGAGGCAGTTTACACATGATAAATAAAGGCACATGTCAGACTGTGTTTATTAAAAGACACATCCGTTTTAGCTGCTCCAGATTAAGTCCATAGGGTCATTTTAAGGGGAGCTAGATCACAAATGTTGCATTACCTCATTATTTTAACTACTGGGTTGTACCTAAGCTTGGTGTAACAGGAGCCAACCTTGGCTTTTTTGGTTATAAAGTTACAAAACAAAACTATGTTCTATTTAAATGTATATGTGACATTTGGTTTGAGGCCCTTTGCAAAATGCTGATTATGTTACATGTCAATGAGGTCTATACCAACTTTTTTAAAGGCGTCTTCTTAACTTATTTATTTTTGCTGAGCAAGCAGTCCCTAATACACACACACACACACACACACACACACACACACACACCTGATCAAAAGCTTGCTGGGCACAGGCAGACGGTTCGGAAATGGGAAGTCATCACAGCATGTGTTTCCGCTTATATTCTCCCCAAAATAGAAATGTGCATGAATCAATGCAGTAAGAGCTCTTTGTCTTAAGACTCCCTTTCATAGACTCTTAACTGTAAGAGGTAGTTCAACTTTACTGCGTAATACTGTAATGTCCATTTGGCTGTAATGAAGATTGATTTTATATTTTTAAGATGGACTTTTGCTTTTTATATGCCTACATGGTCGTTCTCAGAGTGCAGTGGTTTTAACAGGTTGAAAGATGAAGGTGAATGTGCAGGAAGGGAGATAAGGCTGGGCAAAGTGCGATGGCCTTGTCACGTTCAGTGGCCGGTGGTGGCGTGTATAGTAGTGCACGTTTCAAGTGTTCACGAGTGCATGATTGGAGGCATTTGCTGAGTTAGTGCTTTTGCTGTCACCATGACTGACTAACTGGTCTTTAAGAGACTTGAGTATACAACGTGCACTTTATGTCACACCATACAGAAAGTGAGAGGTAGTGTTATGTCCTTCTTAAGCTTATATAATGTGGAATTGCCTGTATATAGATGTAGGAACAACGTTTTCAAGACTTATAATGAATGACAGTAGATTCCCAGTATTTGGTTGTTTGTTGATTGGTCTTAATTATGTCAAAACTCTTCTCAAAAAGCTAAACAACTCATATAATGCACTGCAAAACAAGTCTGAATTGTGTGATTTCTCCAACAATGCAACTGGACAAGTGGGCAGCCCCTTTAAAGCTGCATATTCTGGGGTTCATTCTCTACAAGCTACCTCTTTTTACATTGTTTTCACTTAGATTATTACAATAATGATTATAAATTATAAATATTCACGACTACATCCAAGTAACAAAACCTGTGTAAAGACATTAAACTCTAGACAGTGACCAACCAGCCTGTCATGGGATTCTGATAAAAAAAGTTGCTTACTCTTTATTGGTGCAAAGAAGTAACTAAATAGCTGTAAATTCAAAATGGAAAGCGGCACTCACTACACTGTAAATGACGTGATAGCAGCTGTGAGAAGGGGAAAGTGTATTTACATTTTGTGGGCAACCATGGTTCTTTCCTGGTTTTTCCAAGCCGAGCCACTGGAACACAGGAAGGTTGTAATTATGGGCAAGCATCTGGGAATTTCCAAAATCTTGACTTGACTTGAATGCGGCATATACAAAAACTTTCCTTTTCATCAGGTATAACATATGGACATTAACAGGCCTTTTGTGATGACCTACACTAGAGAAAATCTCGTGACCCTGATGACCTTTGCTCAGAAACAAGGAATGTATTCTGCTTAGGAATTCCACTTTTAATGTTATTTCATTCCTTACTGTCGAGATAACGAGATTAAAACGTCTTTGTGTGACTCAAGGTCATTCATTCATGTTCATAGTGATAGCTCGTTCTGCTACAGACAGATTTCCTCCTGTTGTTTTGATGTAGTGTTGCCATTGATACAGACTATCTCTGCCTTTTCATCTTAGGGATTTAAAACAATACTACTGTCAGATGACTTCATGATCAATGGGGCTTGCGCTGTACTTGAGGAGAAGACATTATTTCCGTGATGCTCTTTGATGCTATGACTCATTTTGACATACACATGAGTCAGGAATATAGCTTAATGAAATTGTCTGCCAATCTCTGGCATTATCATTAATTGTGATAAGACATGCAAAGGTTGGAGTCAATTCTGTAGACTTTGTTAGGAATAAAAGGTTGGAGTTATTACATTACACCCACTACATTCCTATATCACACTATGATCCGAAGGTGGGTCGAATGTTTAAATACTGTAGACATTTCTGTATATAATATCAACTTACTTTCAACAATAAAAGTAACAAATATTAACCTTTCTTTATTTCACACAATTACATTTTTTCCCCTAGCATAAAATCACATTATATTTATTATATATTATATTTTAATTTAAGACCTTTTTGCATATCATATCATATTTAAAGTGAAATACATCTACATCTACATCATCTTCAATAAATCATTGTTTTCTCAATGTTATTGATTATTTGATTTGTCGATACAATCTATAAAATGGGGGAAAGAAATCCCCTCACAATTTCCTATGTTAACATCTTCAAATGTGTTCTTTTGATACCAATCCCAAAGCATTCCTTTTATTTAAAAATACGATAGACAAAGGCATCAAATAGTCACATTCAATAATCAGTGATTTCTGACACTTTTGCTTGATAAATAAGTGAAACAATTAATCAGTTATCACAGTAGGTTCTGATTGATTTAATCTGTATTGATTGATTAAAAGCTTAATTGTTTCAGCTTCATAGTATACAAATAGATTTTTGTTGTTGTCGATACTAAATATACTTCCACTCATACCATTATTCCTCTCGTGTTAAACCTCCTATGAGACACAACAATTACACAAGCCCAGAAAATGATATCATAGAATTCTGTTTATTCCCACAAGACACCATGTTTGCATCTGAATGTCTCAAAGGGTTGAACAGAAATCAATCTCCATCTGCTTTGACCTGAGTAATTTAATCAACTTAAAGAAAGGGATTCTGATAACAATAATGATACATTATAAAGAGAATAGTTCAAACCTTAGAGAAACGTTTTGTACTTGAATGGATTGTAATAGTCACATTTTGATTTATATTAGAACAAAAAAAGTTGTTATTTGACTTTCGTGATGTAAGCCAACAAATATCCCTGAGCAAGACACTCAACTTAAACCTGCCCACTTTTTACTATAACATCAGGAGCATCAGCATGAATCATAAAATGCAAATGAAACCACAGACGCAGATTTCTCGCTTTATTGAAGTGAGTGGAACTGGACACGTGAGAGCAGTGCTGCTTACAATCACCACAGCCTTCGGGGGGTGGGCAGAGATAACCAGTATGACTCAATGTTGTAGAGTGGAGAGATAAGCTTGTTGGGAGTTTGGTTATCTCCGAACATTGCCTGTTCTATGGAGAGCAGCCTTATAAAGCTGCGGCTCCTGGCATGGCACCTTGACAGTCACAGGGTA